GTGTGATATAAGCGATTTATGTCTTTTTCGTAAAATATCAATAGCTCCTGACCTAAGGGAGATGAAAATATTTTCTTTTTGCTAAAATGTAGCCACAACTCTACTCTATCTACAATATAATATTTTGTGAGTTCGCTGTTAGTAGCCAGTGTAATACAGCTATTTTACGGGCGAAGTCCCTGAAAATGATGTTCCTAGAATGAGCTATGAATTTTTCTTGGAAAGTACCTTATATCTCAGAACCTCATTTTCAGAGACTTCGCCCGTAAAATAGCTGTATTACACTGGCTACACTAACAGCCAACTCACAAAATATTATATTGTAGATAGAGTAGAGTTGTGGCTACATTTTAGCAAAAAGAAAATATTTTCATCGCCCTTAGGTCAAGAGCTATTGATATTTTACGAAAAAGACATAAATCGCTTATATCACACGAACCATCTAGTAAAACAGGCCCAAACTTGGTGGGTGATCAGCATTTGGTAAGAGCTATGAAGAACACAACATTAGAAGTTCCTAACTATCGTGGTTCTTGAGTTACAGAGGGTCGCTACTTTTGACGGGTACTGTATTAATTGAGCAATAAAAAAAAAATATTGAGTTTAATTTCCACAATCTCCGTACTCTCTATTCCATTTGATATATGTGTTTAATGTATCAGGTGAAACACTTTGACGAATTTTTTTTATTGATTGTATAAAATCTTGTATGGATATTGGTCGAATATGTCGTAAACTTAACTGTTTCAATTCATCAACACGAAATTCTCGTACGGGACCCATTGCCGCATCTTTGGCTAAAGCTGTTAAGTCACTTCCAGAATAACCATCCGTTCCACTAAACAAAAAACAAGATATAATTTTAAATTTAATTTTAATATTAAATTGCTCGTGTATAAGTCAAGGTACGTATTTTGAACCACTAAGTTCAATTTATTTAGTAAACCAATTCTTCTATTTATAACAATACGAGAGTTGTACCGATCTGGATGAGAAATGCATCGATTTTATGTTCATTAGTATCGTCGCTCATTTCTGGATGAGTAAAATTTGAAAATTTATCTCTGTGCACAACATTCAAGCGAAAAAATAATGCCAATTTACCTGGCAATATAATCTATATCTCTTGATTTTAGATCATGTTCCTGTGTGGCTAATAAATGATTTAATAAATGTTTACGTGTTTCTCGATCTGGTAGTTGAATATAAATTCTTCTAGGAAACCGCCTGAATAAAAAGAACAAAAATGCTACTGTAGTTCTTACAATAAAGTTTAGGAATAATGGTACCTTAGTGCGGCATTATCTAATTCAAATGGGCGATTTGTTGCTGCTAGTACAAGTATACGATCGTCACTGTTTGTTTGAACCTAAACAGAAACAATAAATATGTACAATATTAATCATACTGCAATTCATGTACGACACTTACCCCATCAAATTGTATTAAAAATTCTGTTTTCAATCTTCTCATTGCATCATGTTCAGACTCCTTTCTTTCACTCAATAATGAATCGATTTCATCTAAATAATACAAATTTAAAATATCTATTATTAACTTTTGATCAACATAAACAAAACACACCAATAAATATGATTGATGGTTGAAGTTCACGCGCAGCAGCAAAGAGTGCACGAACCAGCTTTTCACCTTCTCCAACCTAAATCAAACATAAAATAAATTAAGAGAGCAAGAATAGAAAAAACTTATCATACATACATATTTCGATGTTAAACTTGATGCACTAATGTTGAAAAAACGTGCTTTTGCTTCACTGGCTACGGCTTTGGCCTTTACCATTTAAAAAAAGCAAAGCAAAATAAAGCAAATAAAAACTTTTTAAAATTTTCATCAATATCATACAAGCATTGTTTTTCCATTTCCCGGTGGTCCAAATAATAGTATTCCACGAACAGGTGTTCGAAGACCAGTAAAAAGCTGAATTCGAAACAGATAATGATACGTTTATATGGAGCAAAAAAAATATGTCAGGAACATGTTACCTCAGGTCTCAATACAGGAAGAATAACGGCTTCTTCTAAGGCGCGTTTCGCACGCTCTTGACCAGCTAAAATAGAAAACAAATAATTGTCCTCTAGGTATATTTCTGTTCGTTACACGCAATGCATCTACCGATATCAGTAAATTTGACATTCGGCTTGTCTTCCACCACTTCGTCAAGGATATAGGTAATCAATTTAGGTTCGACATTAGGTAATTTTAATAGTGGACGTTTTTGTGAAACAGCTGCGGCTTTCGCGGCATCATTATCGGATGCAGTACGTGGTCTTGTTGATGGAACTGCTTTTTTTTCTGTCTAGAACGAAAAAGAAGACATAAAACTGATTTTTAGAACTATTAGGTAGAACGCTAAAACATAATATAGTAACCAAAATCTGACCTAAAACTGCACTAGTCAATTTTCAAATTATTCAACACATAGAATGAAACAATGATACAAATTTTATGCCTACATGTAAGGACATTAAAAAGTGGGAAAATTTTCACTTTGTAAAATATTGTAGAATTACAACTGGACTTGAAATAATTCAAAAATGTAGGCTATTTACAAAGTAAAATAATTAGTTTGAGTAAGTTAGTAGACAAAGTGTGTATGAGCTGATGTGATGTGTTAATTCTTTTGCATGCAATAAAACTGTTCGTAACACAATGTTATTACTAATCACCGTCTTTTTTGCTGAAACTATTGTAGCATTCGTTTTAGTATACGTTTCTCTTCCAATCTTTGACTAAATTCAGAAATATTTCAAAAGTATATCTCTAACTGGAAAGGACAAACGAATTTTTTTGCCCACTATCAAAGATGTTCATACCCGAGGAGGTGTAACAAAATTTTTAGATGGTAACTGAATCTTTGTAGCACCGGTTCGTCCACCCGAAGCATTTTTCAACATGCGATCATTTTTGTCCAGTTGAAGAGTTGTTTCTGTAAAAAAACATATAATAAACCAAGAGAAAGTTTAGTTCATCATGTTAACTTACGTAGTTTTTCAACTCGTTCACGTGCCATCTCAAGGTTCTTGTTCATCTTATTTTTAAGATCAATAGCACGTTCATCTAAAATTTAGAGCTGGATGAGTGATTACTGTACGTTCATGTTTGCCTAGTCATTTGTACCTTTTGAATCAATTATAAGACTGCCAGCTTTTTCCAATTCTTTTATACCTTGTTTGTATAATAAAATTGCTAATTCATGATTTTCTAAAAATAAAACAACAAACACACGTAATATTCATCACAGAGGATAATTTGAGGTAAATAAATACATACCTGATTTTTCATCATTTTCAAGTGCTTGACGAATATATTGGGTAGCACGAGCGTGATACTCTTTTTGTATGTTAAAATCATCCATACGAGATATTACATAAGGAAAATATTATACTAACTGGAATATAGAAAAGTCATTTTTTGGTTTCTACTTTCTCAAAAGTTTGGATTTTTTCTCATCTGAAATAATTTCAAACAATCACACAAATAAATACAAAATTCAAGTGCTGCAGATGAAGCTTGTCGGTAGCAGTCATCTCTTACTATCACAGTAAATGTGATATAAAAAAATAATTTTAAATTTTAGTTTTCGTACGCATGTTAAAATTATTTAAGCATCCAGCGAATTTAGATAGGTTAGAAACGACATCCTTGGAAATCTCAGATCCCACGCTAAGTACCTAAGTTCAGTTTCACTTCAATTTAGTTTTTTTATTCTATAAACAACAAGAAAATGATGCACAAGTAAAAATTCAACATGGAAGACTATGACTCATCCGTCTGGGTAATCACAACTGTATGGCAAAGCACGAATAGTTTTACGTAATTCTTTACACATAACACAAGATGACTAACATGTTTAACGTACAGCAAGAGGGCGCCACATCTACTTAGCAGTATAAGAGCGGCCTCGTCCAAATACATCGATTTTGACTGATGTCTTTCTATGACTTTAAAAGAAGGCAAGCAGTGTCTCGGTAACCATAGCGACGACTATAGCTACCTACATTTTACGTTCTTATAAGTATAGAAGATGCGATATAAACAGGATAACTACAATAAAAAACAATTCATTATATGTTCAAATGAATATTAAAATACATGGCCACAAAATATACGTTTTTGTTTTGTTATATACGACCATGCAATAAGGGGAGTGCGGAAACCCTCAGTTATCGATAATTTGGAGACTCCATTTTAAGCTCATTTTTGCGCTTTACAAGACTGCCACATTGGATTGTGGAACAAATGGTTTCCCTCAGAGTAATATTTAAAACATCAGCATGTACTCAATCTTCATACTGCGGCAGGCTTGCTCTCTCTTTAAAAGAATAATATGTATTTACCACCCTCAAATACGGTTAGGCGTATTTCGGGATTATCCTGTTTTTATAAGTGCAGTTTCATTCATAACTCACAATTTTATGAAACGTTTTACAAGTTTCATAAATGTGTGATTTATGTAACTGGATTCAACTGGTGGTCCATAAAGAATGGCGGTCTCAGTATTTTGTGAATATCTCATGCAGTTTTTATCGCTCAGACTTCGCCTTTTTTTTGAAAAGATTCCCCATTCAATTCTCTACAAAATAGTGTGAAAAGAGTTTCTACAAAATAGAACCGTGAAACGCTATCTGGTGAATATTGGCATGCTCTGAAAATGCCGCAAATACCTTATTTTGATTTTGTATTATAACGGGTGTGGCAGGAAGAAACGAACTTTTTTGCACCCACTGTGTCTCGGTCAGTTTGCATCTAATCGGACCAAACTTTTCTTTAAAGATTCGTCATTTAATTCTCTACAAAACTAGGTATAAACAAATTTTTCAGCATTAAAAAATGACGGACTATACGAACGAAAGCAAAAGCCTCCGAAAGTTACAACTTTCCAGGCTATAAATAATTTCTTTCATGTTTCTCGAATATACTTTAGCTATAAAAAAAACCCTGTGTCGACCGTTCGAAACAGCTTAAAATTCTCTGCTAGAAACACTTTTTAAAAAAACTTTTCAACTTAAAGGAGAAGTTCATATATCATCATCATATGTTGTGTGTACCATATGTCGAGATTAGTTTTTTTCTACTTTTTGAAAAAACCACTCTTTTCAATTCGTGCTTTTATTCCTTCTTCTGAAACCTTCATAACTCGACCCAAAACAATCCTTTTTTGAAGAACTTTTTTTTGTCTAAAGCTTGAGGCCTCGGCTATCAAACAGCTACACTATTAAAAAAATTGGTACTTATCGGTGCCATAGGCTCACCACAAAAACTCGACCTGCACGATCTTTCAACGCGGCAGCAAATACTATAGTTACGCGTCGGACTCGTTGAGAGTAAACTTTTTCTTGTAGTGCGCAAAAAAGAGCACATCTCAAAGTACTAGAAAATAGTAAAATACAAGAAATGGATGTGATTAGAATGCTTCGTAGTACAAAATCAAAATGGGGTATTTGCATTTGCGACCATTCGAAAGGCATTTCCGTTTTGCATTTAGAGTGCAAAAAGGCCTGTTTTCAAACGCACGTTTTCACAATATTAATTTTTTTCTCCCTCTGACTAATAAAGTCCCGAATCACTGTGGTGCACATTTCTCGCTATTTCCAAGTATGCTCTTTCTCATGGCACTTGAAACGAGTCGCTTGGATAGTATTACGAGATTTCAGGGACAGTTTGCCTTGAAAAACGAGCTGGAATAATTCAACATTTTGTTCTCATGCACAATTTGTTGCCAAAAATAACTGAACACCGACAAAGTCAAGAGCATTTTTCTTCGAACTGGCAAAGATTCGACTGTGAGAAGTTACGTTTTGAGCTAACCGCATGAAGGTTACGGAGAAATCCAATAACAGATCCAAAAAACATTAATGTGAGAAAAAAGAAATACGTTCTGTTTATACACGTTTCAAAGTCAGAATTTTTCTATCATCGCTCGGCTGATAGGGCTTTTCAAGAGCTACAAACTGACATCTTCAATCTTTCTATATCTAGTCATATGGTGACGTGAAACGCAACGAACGGTAAGACATACTTTGAAAAAGGGCATTTTCAGAGCATGCCAATATTCACCAGATAGCGTTTCACGGTTCTATTTTGTAGAAACTCTTTTCACACTATTTTGTAGAGAATTGAATGGGGAATCTTTTCAAAAAAAAGGCGAAGTCTGAGCGATAAAAACTGCATGAGATACTCACAAAATACTGAGACCGCCATTCTTTATGGGCCAGAGAGTTTCTAGTCTAACTTGATTGACGAACCCGAGCTTAACGACTAGTAGAAGTCAAAAGTAGAAGTGATGACATGAACAACCGAATGAACCAGCAATAACGAATTTGATCGTCAAAAGGTGAAAAAAGATGAAAGATGCGGAGTGGGAGGCCAGTTTGTCGAAATATTATTCTACAAATATAAGTAAACGTTGATATCTCTAACGTTTTAACATTGTTCATTTTTAATTTCCAAATTGTTCCTATATTAACTAAAATGACGTTTAACAAATTTATTTAGAAAAAAATAATAAATAACAAGTGTATTGAAACTCGAGCAGGGAATACAAAAAGAACATATTGTCTCATGATTATAAAAGACAAACATAGAAAAAAAAGCGCTTTAGAAAAATTCAAGTATCATATTCTCATCAACAAATATAAAAAATTATAAATGCAATAATCAACAAACATAGGATGATTTCGGACTCTACAAAACTCTCTCCGGTTTATTCATCAAATTGTTGTATGCTAAGTTCATAAATACTTTAAAAGATGTAATAAAAGTGTAACTTCGAAATGTTCCATTGAATCAATGTTCCTAAATCCGTGACGTTCACTAGGATATACCTCAATATAAGAGAAAACAAATCATAAACAACTGGTATATCTTATTTCGCAAGATAATCAGTTTGAATATATAAAAAAAACGATATGAACTACTTAAAACATAGGCATACTTTCAAAATATAAGGTTTTCGTTCTTGCACACACTTGTTGATCAACGTTTTCGTATGAGCAAAATGAACATTTTCATCATTTAAACCGTGAATAATCATTAAACGATTTTCTCTGCGAAAAAATAAACGAAATTTTACGAACAACTAGAAATAAATACAGTTTAACATACTCGGTTGGAAACGATGAGACATAATTTAAAACATTTGACGCTAAATATTGTTCTTCATTTTCACTTGGTAAACCTAAGTAACGTTCAGTATAACCAGTGTTATACAGTCTCCAAGACACCACGGGTGCACCAGCAATCGCAATCTACAACACTTTTGAGTATATATCAACAGAATAGTACAAATAAAGAACTCTGACTTTGATAAGATTTGGCATTTGTGCTAAAGCCATCAAGGCTAAATATCCTCCGTACGACCAACCAAGAATAGCAACTCGATCTAAATCGATACAATCATATTTTTGTGCACAGTATCTTAAACCATATTCTTGATCCAATAATTCAACTTGGCCCTTGAAATAATGATAAATAAGAATAAAATAAACGAGAAATTATCGGTATAACATAAGAATTCTCACCTTACCAGCCGATATTTTAAATGACCTGCCTCAAGATTAACTCCACGATTTGCTGCTCCACGGTTATCAATCATCACAACGCAGAAACCCATTTGTGTCAAAATATGACATTTGGATGCACTACAAGAGAAGAAAAAAATTTTTTTTTCAAAAATGTCTCTATAAACCATAGCATTAAAATGTAAGTAATGAAAAATACCTCCATGTTCCCTACCGATATCCTGACCATAGATTTCGGACACTGGATACTTCAGGACCACCGTAAATTTGTAAAACGGTCGGATATTGTCGTCCAGTTTCAAAATTTATTGGTTTCATAATAATACCATACATAATCACATTGTCCCATTGAAACTCAAATAGTTCCTGTTTACTCCATTGATACTGTGGAGTTACAGGTGTCCAAAACGCTGGAGTAATATTGTCACTGTCCTGTCGAGAAATATCTAGAATATGAATAACATTGTTTTCCGTTAGTAAAAAAAGTCATTGCAATCTTGTCATGCTGTCACTTCATTACTTCGACTATACATCGATTAGTTTATAAGACCCGTCTATCATTTGATAATAGAATCGCAAAAATACAGGTTTACATTTTACGATATTCGATCAGCATCTGCCTGTTGATGATAACATCAGAATATTAATAATTCATCAAATTTTGCTTACCATGTGATGGCAAAAGACTTCCAATTTGTTTTACTGTAATGAGATCGATGTTTGATTGAATATTTTCTAACATATACAGATTGATTTGTGGAGAATTTGTCAGAGAACTATACGTAGATAAAAACAGAGTTGTTTCCTAAAATCAGAAAAAAAGTGAATGTTGATTGCGAATAAACGGCAAAATAATTTCAAATCCTGTGCTTACTTAACCTTATTTAATGTAACGGTATGAGAATAATTTGATACGGTCAATCGATTCAGTTTTGTAGGATATAACCACGATGTTACATAACTAAAAGAAGAGATAAATATAAGATATTTTTTGTAATTTGTAGACTAGAAATTTAACGACGAAGCGATAACAAAAGAAATTAATTTAGTTTTGACTTACAGATGTGTTTCGAGAGGTGTATCTTTAAAACCAGTAAAATAAACTAATTTATTATATTCATCAATCCAAATTTCATCATTGTTCACACACCATTCACCATCAGTTAATCGAACATGTTCAACTACACGCGCATAAGTGAGATCTACAATGTGAAATTAGTATAATTATTCTTAAATATGAGAAAAATATATCTTGTTTGTGATGCTTACATTCTGAATCAGTAAAAGATGATGCTTGAAGATCAATATCAAGATATTGTAGATGCAAATAGCCAGTTTCTTCTGTCGCTATGACAAAACGAACATGAGTTGTGTTTGATGACGGTAAAAAATGAAGGATATCATGAACCTATCGAAATAGGAAACAGTGTTAGAAAGAAAACGATCAATACAGCTGCTGATTTGGTTGAAAACTCAAATTGTGTTTTAATTTTCACGTGTCTTACTTTAACAAGTATGTCATTTATTTCTTCATGTAATATGAAACAAAATTGTTGTTGAGTGTTACTATTGATCCCTTGTTTATCTGCATCATCAAACATATTCAATGGAATTAAGATAAGACATTTTTTTGTTTGTGATCGATTTACAGCTTGAATCCAAACACTAAATTTATTCCATTTTAATTTGGATTAAAATATTTTACTCATTTTTACTTACAAATTTCCGTCAGGAGTCCATCCGGCTCGTGCTAGATACTCGATCCAAGGCACAATCGTCTTTAATTCGATACAAAGCTGTTGTTGAACAATATGAATTATCTATTAGAAAACAAAATAATAAAAGAGAGAATCAAGAGAAAATTAGTCATTTACCTCATTGTTTTCATTTAGATATATTTCTAATAGTTTTAGTGTACTTTCCGAATTTTTTCCGCCAGCTCTCGGATACCGAAACGTTTCAATGTTTTCCGAATCTTCTTCAATTATTGGAATATATACTACATCCACACCTTCATCATTCACTTCTTCATAAAGTATACGATAGACTTGTTCATCTACATAAATTGAATTATGATTTTTATTTTTTAATGCGGAAGAAAAAGTTATATAGTCAAATATTATAGTTATTACTGCTTCTTACTTGTATGACATTTTGGTTGCCACCAATAACCTCGATAACGTGAAAATTCTTCTTGAATAACAAATGATGGGACTCCAGCGCTTTTAACATCCTGTAAAAAATCATTTGTACCTGAAAAATACACGATAGTGATAATCTCTATTAAGTATAAACAAGAAAAACAACACACCTAATCGAGCAAATGTACATTGTAATTCCTGATGACTAATTAAATTTTTACACCAGATATTATCATTGCGAATAAATCCAATCATATTCGAATTATGTGGACACATTGTGACATCGATCGGTGACCCACTAGTTAAAAATTGAATTTCAATTGGTTGATATTCAAAATCTATTTCCTATAATAGAGTTACGTTTTATAGACAGTAATTAACCGATCATCGATTTTATTTCCATAACTCCTTATTCACTACAACTTACACTTTGCGTTGTTCGCATTGCTAATCTTTTATTTGCATTTAACGTATCGTCATAGTAATAAAATCGTCCTCTTGCCTGATACAATATCCTCTGATCAACTATTGTATAGGCGGTTATTGAATATGTATAAACAGATCTCATTCGTTCTCTTAATAATTGCTCCGCCCTGCTCATTGGCAAATTACGTATGAAATCTGATGATGATAAGAGAGCTTTAGCTTGAGATAAATAATCAATTACTGGCAATGAGGTCGATTGACGTAAAAATTTTTCATCTAAATCAATAAAGAATAAACTCGTTTCATTATCGTAGAAATTTGTACCAATATAATAAAGACGGAAATTATTTGCGTTTATTGTTGTTTGATTATTGGAAATCGACTTGAAAGATTGTGTACACAATGATGATAGATCAGTTGAAACTGTTGATGTTTCAGCTAATTCAGAACATAATCGAAAATGAAATTTTTCTGGTAGATAATTGCTCGTATTCATCACCAACGAACGACGAATCGATTGCATGTCAGTTTGTAATTTAGTCCATGATATAACCGTGTCGTCAGATAATGATGATGGTCGGCTCATATTTATATCTAGATTAGAACAAATGAAATCTTTTTTTACAACTATTATACAAGAGGTACTTTTCGTTCATAAAAAAATTACAAATAATTACAAATACTCAAATAATAGTAGAAAATTGATTGATTGATTTTTTTTTTCGTCTCATCCGGCCGTCACATCTAATCTTAGACCTTGTCCAGACTACAAAAGTTAAGTGAGAAACTCGTAATCGTATTGGATGAAAAAGTTAATTCCAACTTAAGTGGTGTGCTCGACATGACTTGGAGTCCCGACTACACTCTTTTCTCACTTCAGTATTAATAACTTAAGTCATGTCGAGCACACGACTTAAGTTGAAATTAACTATTTCATCCAATACGGTTACGAGTTTCTCACTTAACTTTTGTAGTCTGGACAAGGCCTTAATACTTAAGTGAGAAACGAATGTAGTCTGGACAAGGCCTTGTCCTGGTTCTACTGACTAATATGACGTAGGATTTATCATTGGTCTAAAATATCGAGAAATCAGAAAAACGTGTTTTCGAATAAACTAAAACTAGCGGCATCTACTAGTTTTAAGAACCTGTTCTCCTTTTCTTTATGTTCTAGGGCTGTCGCTTTTCGCTTTTATTATGATTGTTGATTTATTGGTATAGTCTACAATTTTAATCAATAAATGCATGTAGTCAAAGTATTGGGTGGTGCAGAATAAATTAGACTGTTTATATTTTCAAATTTTCTCCTCCTCCTTATACTTGATTGAGCTAGTTTTTTACCAAAAGATTTTCTATTAAATTCTCTACAAAAAAATGTATTTACTGTTTTATCGTAAACGTTTGTAAGAGAGGAAAGCTGAAGTACCCATCGTGTACGCCTCGAAAAGTTCTATTTTCCATCTGTAATTTAAATAATTTTTTAGTTAGAATTGAGGGCGCAAGCATTTCATTATTTTTTTGCCAATTTTTCAAAAAATGACGATTTTTTACCAATAATTTGAGCCTTCTAATAAAACAAATAAAACTTGGTCAAACTTAATCTATGTAGATTGAGTTTTTTAATTCTGAAAACAAATGATTAGTCATTTATGATCGCATCTCTAAGATTTCGAAGAAATCTGTTCCACCACGCAAAAAAAAGGTAACAACTTTTGCTATTTTCACTTGATTGCTGAGAAATTAATCTTCACGCCGGGTATTTAGATTCAAGCGATTTTCGCTCTATACGAAAAGAAAGAGCGTATTTGAAACTATACGAAAATATACTGAAACCGTGTTTTAATGCTTGCGAAATCATTCGAAAAAATTTCGCTTTGTTTGAGAAAATGCGTTTATTTTTTCAACATTTTAGTACTTTTCACCATTTCTCATGGCATTTTACACGTTCGGATTTTGCAATAAAACAGTAAATACATTTTTTTGTAGAGAATTTAACAGAAAATCTTTCGGTAAAAAACTAGCTCAATCAAGTATAAGGAGGAGGAGAAAATTTGAAAATACAAACAGTCTAATTTATTCTGCACCACCCGATAGGTCTACTCCATGGAATGATCAGTCGGTTAGTTCCAATGAGGAAATGTGCGTTGACGTTTCAAATACTTTTCCAATCACGTCCATCAGTAAGCATCATGTTATGCACACATTTTCTATATTATATTCAGTTTTTTTTCTCAACACACGCTTTCATTAAAATTTCTTCTATTCAAATTTCAAATCAGAAACAAAAGAAACTGTTAGTCGAAACAGTTGAATAAGCTGTAAATATTTCATTTTTTAAAACGAAGAATACAACTAAAATTAAAAATATTATTGATATGTTTAAAAAAAAGTGAAAAAATATTTTACAAACATCGGATTATACGCATATAAAGCGAAAAAAAAATTGCAATGGTTTAAAATAAAACCTTAGTTTTTCGTTTAATACGTAAGTTCTCGAGCTGGAAATCTTCCAGGATATTTACGAATGAAATATTTTCGTGATTCATTGAATGCCCATAAATAAAAAAAGAACGGTACTGGTGGTAACCACCATAAGAAACGATTGGGTGCTAGATTCAACGCACGATTCAAATAAGGTACATATAATAGAACACAGGCTAAGGCTATTGTAAATATAACCGCAAATACCATAAATTTATTTTTGAATATTCCTTGTTGAAATGCTGAACGTCTTATTGTCTTTTGACCATATAAATTTGCTATTTGACAGATGACAATGCCGATAAAATATGATGTTTGAGCATTTAAATCCAAATTATGTCTGAAATAAAAAAATAAAAAACAACAACAGATTCCAAACCTTTTTAAATTAAAACTTTACTAACCGTTGTTCATATGTCCACTCTTGACCATATGAATCTCTCAAATCATTACATTTCGTACTCTCCCATCCTTCACGCAATCCGAGTAATCGCGATGGCCACCAACCGCTTTCAGCTAATACTACAAGATAAGCAAAAAAACCGCCACTCGCTTCGATCATTGCCACCTGACCATAACACAGGGATACCATTTGAGATGTAGCCATTTTATCTGTTTTCTTTCGTGGCGGACGTTTCTAAAAAATAGACAACTAAGAATAAACTTTTACCGGTACATGACAAATCGAAATGCATATTAGCTTACTAAAATATCGGCTTCAGATTTCTCATAAGCATATGATACACTTGGAACAATATCTGTTCCTAGATCGATACATAAAATAGTGATTGTCGATAATGCTAATGGAACATCCGCTACTACGTAGAGAAGAAATGGTAATAATTCACATAAATTCTTTGTAAATGTGTATGCAATGACTTTTTTTAAATTATCAAATATTAAACGGCCTTCTTCTACGCCGATCACAATTGTAGCAAAATTATCATCTAACAATATCATATCGGCTACTTGTTTACTAACCTCACTTCCAGAAATTCCTAAATAAATATAATTAAAATTTCTTAGAATAGAAAATATTACTTCACGTCAATTTTACCCATTGATATTCCAATATCGGCTTTTTTCAATGCTGGTGAATCGTTGACACCATCACCTGTCACACCTAGAAGAACGACACGAGTTTAGACAATGTATTTTTATCATTAATTGAAACATACCCACAATCCATCCTTGTCGTTGACACCCTTCGACAATAATTAATTTTTGTTGTGGACTCGTACGTGCAAATACAATTTCACTATGAGTGATTAATATCTCATCTAATTGTTGTGATGATAATTCACCTAACTCCGTTCCACTGACAACAATTGAACGCACATCTTTTTGATCAACTTCTGAGACAGGAATATCCAATCGTTTAGCTAAATCTTGAGCTGTATCACTAGTTATTATACCAACACCTAAAAATAGTTAATCTTAGGTAAGCTTAATTATATGCAAAGAATATTCTTTACCTTTGGCGATTGCTTTAGCCGTAATTGGATGATCACCAGTGACCATTATCACTTTGATACCTATAAATTAGACAAACGTTGCAATAAAAATTTATTAATGACCTTCTTATATTTTACTTACCAGCTGTTCTACATTTTTGAACAGCATCAGAAACACCTGGTCGAGGTGGATCAATCATTGTGATAAATCCAAGAAATCTTAAACCTCTTATTGGAAAATTGGGATTGTCTGGATCAAATGAGAATCCTCGAGGAAAATTACCTAATGGTAATCTCATATCACAGAAACCTAACACACGTTCACCAAGACCACCCAAATTCATATAGGCCTCATTAAATTTTTCTTTCCATTCATCATTCAAGTCAATTTCATTATTATTAATAAATATCTTTTGACAACGTTCTAATATTCGTTCCGGAGCTCCTTTCATTACCAACAAATGCCTTTCATCACCATCATCATTCGTTTCATGAATAGATAGCTGATATTTATTTGTTGAATTAAATGGAATATCGCACACCTAATTAATAGAGAGTATATTTAAACTACAGAGAAGAAACAATCTTCACTTTTCAGAACATACTTTTTTATTTTTTGCTCGATATTGTTCAACTTGTCCAACAACAATTTCTGTAAATTGCAAAATAGCTGTTTCAGATGCATCACCTTGCACAATGCGTTGTAATGGCGACTGAGCCATATTTTCTTCGTCTGGTTTAAATACTGCTTTTGCACATAACATTGCACATCGAATTAATGCTTGATATCCGGGACGTGTTGATGCGAGTTTTGTTGATTGTTCACCCGTTTGAGGATCGGTAACTGGATTGTCAAATGCCATTTCAGATTCATGAGTATGAGATAAATTAACTGATACTATATTTGCGTCGAGCCACATATGAGCAACGGTCATTCGATTTTGAGTTAATGTTCCTGTTTTATCACTACAAATGGTTGATACGGATCCAAGAGCTTCGACAGCTGTCAAATTTTTAACTAAACATTGTCTCTTTACCATACGTTGAGCTGTCAGTGCAAGCATAACAGTTATTGTAGCTAAGAGACCTTCAGGAACGTTGGACACAATGATACCCTACAGCAGAAACAAGTTTATTCAAATTGTAAAGTATTCTATTATATTTAATACGTACAATAACAAACACAATTGCAGTGATCCAATAAGATTTTAACGCTAGTAGAATAACTAAGAATATAATTCCAAATGATATTGCCACTAAGAAGAAAATCATAGTGTTTTCTATTTTCTAAGGGAGAGTACTGTTTTTCTTACCAATCGTGACAATATGTACAAAATGTTCAATTTCAACATTTAACGGACTCATTTCTTGACCGAGACCCGATGCCAGTGCTGCTATTCTTCCCATGACCGTATTATCACCAGTGCGAACAACCTTTTGTTTAAAACAATCTATTTTGACAGTTACAAACACGGAAGAGAAACACTAGACTTACCATACCCGTACAAGATCCTTCAACAGCAAATGTACTGAAAAATGCAAGATTTTTTGTTTCTAATGGATTATCGTCAGTACAATCTGGTGATCTTGCCAATGGTTCACTTTCACCGGTAAGCGATGAATTATCAACCTTGAAACTTTGGGATGATAAAATACGAACATCAGCCGGCATACGATTGCCGATTTTAACAAATACAACATCACCTTGAACCAATTCCTCAGCGGGTATCTCTGTTTGTTTACCATCACGTAGTACAGTGGCTTGTTGTGGAACCTTTATTAGAATAAAACATCATAACTATCTTATATTAAAAATATCTCAATCTTACCATTTTCTTAAAACTATCCATGATTTTTCCAGCTTTAGCCTCTTGATAATAAGCAAATATGGCTGTGATAACAACGACAATAATCAATGCAACTCCTAGATAAAGATTGTCTTTTGGTGTTGTGGGATCTGATACGACTTGAATAATATAAGCCAAAAGACAGAGAACAGCTGCCACCCACAATAAACCGGAAAAACCACCAAATAGTAATCGTACAAATTTAAGCCACTCCGGTGTTTGGTAGGGCGGTGTAAGAGAATTTGGGCCATTTACTCTCAATGCTTCGGCAGCCGCTGCTGTTGTTAAACCATTCTCAACACTTGTATGGTAACGTTCAACGAGTTCTTGCAATGGTACACGGTGATCGTCAATTGTTAACTCTTTTTTCAAATCATCGAAACTTTTTTCCTTCTTGTCGCTTGCATCCTTGCTTTTCTGTGATCCTAAAATTTGAGAACAAACACGTTATAATAATGACAAAAAGAAATAACGCTCAACTATTAGATCAACTATAAAATTTCAAATTTAATAGGTCAAATTTTTTTTTCTACAATCCTAAAAGTTAACTAAGAATAAATTTTCAGAAAATTTGGTGGAATTATAGTAAAGGTAGCATTCAGATCTGAACTTTCAAAATATAAATATACTCGTCATACATTTCGAGCATGTTTAGATTTCGTCTAGCGCAGACACTACCCATGATATTTTTTTATCCTTTTTTTATCACAGTATATCGTTACAATACTAACGTAACAAATTACGCGTTAGGAAAATGGAGCGCAAAAACACATTTCATACTACAAATAACCGCGTTATCCCAACCTTTAACTGATGCAAATTCACGCAGTACTAAATTGTGATACAGTCTTTTGCGCGCGATTACTAACGTGTAATTTGTAATGTTGCAGTTTTACATTACAGAAAAGCATTTAGCATAATTAGTTCGGTGCGCATGCAATGTGTCACTGGCATCGCCAATGATCGGCGCGCATCGGTGCCCGAGCTATGCTAAACAACGCCCAGTTATGCTCCGATATCCTTATTTTTTCTCTATCACACAAAGCTTTATTGTTTTAAAACAATAATGATTTTTTTATGTTACATAATATATCATTTAGAAAGGTGTACTTTTCGCTGTTTTGATATTTTGTCGTCCGTTTATATTGTTTACAAATATTTTTTTTACGAATAAGAAGAAACACATTTTTTTTTGTTTTTTTAGAGACAAAAATAACAGAGTCTGCTGACTGAGAAGGAAGCAAACTTCACGTGTACAAGATTTTCTTATATTCTAGGCTGTTGCAAGATTTTGAAGCCATTTTAACAGAAAAACTTTGATTGTAGAGTTTTAAACATTTTGAAACTTATGATAGTATTAGTCCTTTATCTTTCTATAGCAATTCAAGCAGTGCTACTGATAAAATGGTCATCAGAACAGAGCACTGGTCTACTCGTTATGCTAATAGTATGATCAGATTGAACAGATACATTCTCCTACGTATATGGTAGTTTGGTTAAGTCAATGAACGTCTGGGAGGAAGATACGACTTCAAAAACTAGATTTTTCAAGTCATTCTACAACTCTTCCCCATCCAAAGGTCATACTAGTGATCATGCTATTTTTTACGAGGTATTGCGCATCTTTTTCTTGTAAAATAGATTTGTGAAAATCATTTAGCTTAACAGTAAATATTTTAGCCAATATATCATAAAACACATCACGAGAAAGTGAAGAAAAAGGAGTTCAATATTTTTGATTTTTCGAAACCTATGGATTATGTATGTCATATATCTTGAAGACGGAGTGACGAGACAAAAATATTTTTTTATCAAGTGACAGCTTGTAGGACTTAATAATGGCTTGAAAGATTTGGACAACCATGCTTCGTTTATGCTCTCTAACGTTTCTATGACTGGTTAGTCCAGGGTCTTTAGACGACAAAGTATAAATATTAGAATGTTTTGAATACGCACAAAAAGGTAAAGACCTTGATTTACACTGATTTATTGCTTCTGAACTTAGTGATTAATTCATCATCTGTTGTTCTACATTAAACAAATTTTAAAGTAAATCGCAGCAGAGAGTTCAGGTTGATTGAATGTCATCATATCAAAAAAGCAAAAACTGAATTTTTAAACCAGTTTAAAACAAATTTATGGCATACAATTTGTTTCAAACATTTTCCTTTCCCGTGAACCTCTTCAAAGAGCGAAGTACACACATACTTACTTGGATTAAGTCGGCTAAAAATTTCTGTTATTCGTCCTTTAATGGCCATGAATATGAGAATATCTTAGTGAACTTCGATCTGATAATGATAAGTGATAATCGTTACAATAAAGATGCAATTTTATTCTTGTCGACCAAATCACACTGACAAAAAAACATTATTAATGAACACTGTATCAATATTAGTTTTCTTACATATGCAAAGGCACAAATAATTTACGTTGAAAATAGTATTGAAAATAAGTATACCTTGTTTACTATCCGTTCTGTATGATACACATATAGATTCATCATCTGATTCAGTATTTTTTTCCTGTATTTAATAAAAAAAACCGGTTACAATACACACCTCCGCGGTTTCGAGTATGTCCACGATGTATCGCCTTTCACATATATCATCCGAACATTTTTTTTGTTCTTTTCTTTTCGCTCTGTCGAGTACGGGAAAGCTAGACAAAGATTATAGAAAGACTATAGTTGTTCAGTGTAGAAAATTCTAAAAATTCATGAAAATGGATGGATGTACAATTTGCTGTTTGTATCGTGTGAAGAAAGTCATTTCGTGTCCTCTCTTTCTCTCTTTCATATTTATCTCTCTCTTCGTATTAGATATGTGTCAAAATGGGTACAAATCAAATCCATCGATGATCGAGTTAGATGGATACGCATGAAGGAGCTACCTGATATACACCAGCTGCCCTTTGATAAATCTTATTATCTTATTACAGTTCAATATACATAAGACAATTTTCAAACGTTGTCGTT